ATACTTCCCAACAACTTTGAAGTCCTATGTTTGGTTGAGCCAGAAGGGCCAGGGTCTTTTGAATCCACCCTGTCAGACAGTCACCATGTGTCAGTTGATGCCTCGAACACACGTTTGCATGTGAACAGCAAAGTCTGGGTGGAAAGCCGAATCCAGCGTACACCACCGAAGCTGCTGAAGGCAATTTTCGGGGCTAACGTTGGCCCCACAGCGGTTGTTTGTGGACGCACATGAGACGACTAAGGGGCCCTTTTTGGATCTCCAAAAAGGATAGAAAAAAGGGTTTGTGCGCGGCCTGAAGATTCAAAAAGAAACCTAAATGGCCGGAAGTCAGCTGCGGGTAGCTGGGGCACTCCATTTTTGCTGTCCTACATGATGTGGGGCCGTTGGCCTGTTTAAAAAAGCATGCAACGCATATAAGCAACATTGAGCAACCACCAATACGTGCGATGACTAGTGCAGTAAAGAGCGGGCGTGTTGTTTCTTTTTTAGCTAAAGCCTGCAAAAGCGATAGGCCCCAAAGCGATAATCTTCCTGAATCATGTCCTCTACTTGACAGTACCGTTTTGGCAGACGAGACGTGTGGATCCGTGATCACTAACGGCGGGGCAATCCTACCGTAAGGCTAGTGGTAAGGCCAGGAGCTGCGTTCGCGTCCGACCGCTCCGTTCGTTTCTTTTTGGATCTTTTTGGTTCTTGTGTTTCTTGATTTGTTTGGGACCTCATAGAAGAGATGTTCCCGTGAAATCAATTGAAATCTGGATCGTCCACCCTACCACTTGGCTGGCGTTACGACAGGTCCGGTCTACCATGGTCCAGTCACACATGGAACCTGTCACTCATTGTGAGATAGTCTTTTGTGCGTCCACTTGCCGCATCTTCCCGCATCTTCCCGCTATGTGATAGCAGTGGTCTTTCCACTTTCCACATGCGTTGGTGATGGTCTCTTTGGGGGAGCGCATGAGAGAGCATGCGGTGGGAGAGCAAACGACATGCCCGCATCATGCGTATCCGCAGTCTTATAAAGTCCGTGAGATAAAAACCGACCCAATGACCCCGCAAAGTGTGAGTTCTTTTGCCCTGGTTTTATACCTTGGTCGCTTGTGATGAAGAATTGCTTCTGGCATTGCTCAAGAGTTTCAAAAGCACCGCGGTGTCGAGCAAAAGAACTTGGGTCTGAGGGGAGTGGTATGTCCATTCTCCAAAAGTGGGTGAGAACAGCACCATACATGCGTACCATATCATACCATAATAACCATTATAACTATTACAGTGCCAAGTTGTTAATTGGTTATGGGGAACTGTTCTTGGAATGCAAAAACAGAGGAATGACTATTGCGACGTGTCAGGATTGGTATTTTGAGATTGGCATCCTTTACCAATTATTTGTGTCACACTTTCCCACCCAAACCATGTTGCGGAGGAACACATATCTTTCAACCCCCTTCTTTGGTTGCCAGTGCATTTTGTGTTTGGCACTTAGGCCATATTACGTTGTCGGCGGGTGCCAGGGCATGAAGGTGGCATGAAGGCCCAACTTTCTTTAAAAATTAACTTGCACAAGTCAATAGATGTGCAAACGGGTTGTTCTGCGAGAAATGGTTCTCAAAAGTTCTTCTTCGAGCACCCCGTTCAGCCAAGATAAGCCAAGCGAGCCAAGGGGTACTCCTTTTGATATGCAATGTAATGTGTTCAACTGCAATTCCTTTTGAGCTTAGGTGGATCAGGTGAAGCAAATTGTTGGAAGTTGCCAATTCTAGGAAATGCATTGGTTTTGGGTCCGGTTTTGTCCATTCAAATGCGAATTGAAGCTTCTCCTCCAAAACAGAGACCTTTTCAGCCATCGTAGTTCACTTTCACACCATAAATCGTGCATTCTTTCGCAACCCGAAGGATGCATGATTTGCCTGGACCTGTGCTTTTCATTCCTTTGCTGGTGATACGTGTGTCAGTCCTTGATCGTCCAATGAGTCAGTGAAACCAGACATGGTGCAAAATGATTCACAAAGGAACAATCACTTCCTCATATATCGATGGCTCGGTTTGCTTATTCGTTTGGCCACATGTCCCATGCAAACCAAATACACATTCCCGTACACTTCCCAACAACTTTGAAGTCCTATGTTTGGTTGAGCCAGAAGGGCCAGGGTCTTTTGAATCCACCCTGTCAGACAGTCACCATGTGTCAGTTGATGCCTCGAACACGCGTTTGCATGTGAACAGCAAAGTCTGGGTGGAAAGCCGAATCCAGCGTACACCACCGAAGCTGCTGAAGGCAGGGGCTAACCTTGGACCCACAGCGGTTGTGAGGTGCTCTTTTTGGATCTTCTTTCTACCACTTGGCTCGTCCACCCTACCACTTGGCTGGCGTTACTACAGGTCCGGTCTACCATGGTCCAGTCACACGCTGTCACTCATTGTGAGATAGTCTTTTGTGCGTCCACTTCCCGCATCTTCCCGCTATGTGATAGCAGTGGTCTTTCCACTTTCCACATGCGTTGGTGATGGTCTCTTTGGGGGAGCGCATGAGAGAGCATGCGGTGGGAGAGCAAACGACATGCCCGCATCATGCGTATCCGCAGTCTTATAAAGTCCGTGAGATAAAAACCGACCCAATGACCCCGCAAAGTGTGAGTTCTTTTGCCCTGGTTTTATACCTTGGTCGCTTGTGATGAAGAATTGCTTCTGGCATTGCTCAAGAGTTTCAAAAGCACCGCGGTGTCGAGCAAAAGAACTTGGGTCTGAGGAGGGAAGTGGTACTTCCATTCTCCAAAAGTCGGTGAGAACAGCACCATACATGCGTACCATATCATACCATAATAACTATTATGTATAACTATTACAGTGCCAAGTGGTTAATTTGTTATGGGTATTTTTGTTGGGAGGCCAAAAAAACAGAGGAATGACTCTTGAACAGGACCAGGAGGTGCGACTTGTCAGGATTTGTATTTTGAGAAGGTCAAATTGGCATCCTTTACGATCCTTTACACATACTTTCCCACCCAAACCATGTTGAGGAGGATTACATATCTTTCAACCCTTCTTTGCCCACAGCTTCATTTTGACTCTAGCTGCTGGAATTTCCGCCGACTGGCAGAACGGGGACAGCTCGCGGGGCTTCGGGTCAGGCTTCGGCCAAGAGCGGACTGAAGACCTCGAGTCGCAAGGCCGCACCCTCCCAAAAATGGAAGTCGACCCTGCTAGAATGCACATCTCATGATCAACTGATGAGTTTCCACGACATCGACATGTGGCCAATTGTCATGTGATTTGGGGCATTTCGAAGATGCAAGTTCAATCCGCAGGTGGCAAAGAGAATCAGCGGTCGCATTGATCTTTCATAGTACCAGTACCAGTACAAGCTGTAAGTATGTAGTTATTCTGATCTAAATAGAATATGAACCAATCCATCAAAAAGACAGACCCTCCAACTAGCGATTCATACGTGCGTTTTGTTTTGTCTCCAGAAAAGAGCTGTGGGAAGTGCTACAGAGGCATCGCTGCCAGTTGCCGGTTTTCGCTTTCCTTCGCAGCGGAGCGGACATAGAAACATCATGCAAATGCGTTATTCACATATAATATGTGTTCCTCCATGTCCGGGAAGAAGAGGCCCGCCCTGGAATCTGGAAGGTATCCACTGCAAGCTGACTCCCTTGCCAATTCAATACTTGGTTCAACACTTTTACCCCAGGAGCAATCCTCACAGGAGCAACCCTCACAGGAAGTGAACGGCCACCAATAGCTTTTTGCCGCATTTTTTGCACACATATCACCCAATGCAACTGTGAATAAAATGGGCGTGCAAATCATACAAATATACAGCAGTTAGCAACCATACCAAACAATTAGATTAGAGTAAATATTACGTCGTATTTTTAGATTGGACAGAATAACATCGAAATAACATGTTTGAAGCATTATCATTACAACTTTTTTGTGTTGATTTTATCATTGTTTGATGGTGTGTTTTCTTTGGAAGTTGTTGTTCTCCAGTATGCTCCAGTATGTTCTTTCGGACAAGGCGAGTCGGTCTCGCCACCTGATGCTGTTTGCCGTTGGCCAGAAAGTAAGCGTTGTGGACGAGCAGCTGCACCACCTGATGAAATTGGAACATCATTTGTACTCCAGGTGAACGGACGCCAAGAAAGATTAGCCGTTGTATGCCTTGTTGAACCAGGGGATGTTGACATTTTCATTGGGGTTTGATCTGCTGACCACCTTGTTGGCCACCAAAGCAGCAACAAGGACAGCGACCCGAAGAAGCGTGCTGCTACGCTTGGTGGTCCGGATCGATTTGGAACTTTTGGTGTGGAGTAAAAGCACCCAGACACCGTTGGTGTTTCAAGGTTTTTGGCAGGTGAAGAAGATTTGGACGGCAAAGGGATCTGGGGAATCTTCAAGTGTTTCCATCAAGTCTCCTTGTTCACTTCTTCCAAAGGTGATAAACCTGTGGTTGTTTCCAGTAGAGCTGGAGAACACGGCGGGTAGAGGGGGGCCAAGGTGGAGCTCTGACATGAATCAACTGAAAAGAGGTGACTGGCGGTTGTTCAGGGACCCAACAACAGCTCGATTCACTCTGTGGAGATATCCTGAATGATCTTTGTCAAACCAGACTAAGTCCACAAGGCCTTGTCCAAACTAGGGCATGCCGAACAAGCAGGGGCATATTTGCTGCACCCAAGCTCATACTTAGATCATTGGACACCATTCAACAGTCTGCCCAGGATAATATTGTGCTGCAGGAGAAGTTTTAGATGCACGTCCATGTGTTTGACCTTCCACTCAGGTTAGCAGTTCCCTTGTTTTGAGACACGAAAGCTGTAGAACCCCGCGGTCACAATCGGTCACACACACACATTGCTGCAAGGCAGTTTTCTGGGCCTGTGATCTAGGTGTTTTGATCTAGGTGTGTCTCAAGTGAAAACTTGATGAGTTAATCCTTTTGCCAGAGGTATTTTGAGACACAACCACATCGTTTGAGTTTGGCTGCAATCACATAGGTTGTAATATCTGGGCATCGATTATTTAGAAATTGCAATTGACATTATAAAATACTATAATGTATATCAATTATATAAATAATATTATATATAGGTATCTTATATTTAGATTCTATATTGTTTTAATGAATATGGGATCGATGTATGTTTAAAAAAAATAGCATATGTATAGTGTGATTTTTATGAATATATCTATGATTTATTTTGTATTTTATATGTTGATTATATATTAAATAATTGATTTTAGTTTTATATCATATTCTTGTATGTTTTATATGTGTTTATTTTGATATGTTTAGCGAATTTATGTAATGGTCGGGGCATTTGTGTTGTGTGTAGAAAATTTGTAATAATGTTTAATAGTAGTAATATGATGTTTTTATGTATTTGAGAATTATGTTGGTTTAGATATATGATATTATTGATTTTTAGTTATATTAATTATAATTCGTGGTTAAATTATAGTAAAATTTGATAATGTTTAGAAATGAAATGATTTTATGGGGCAAAATATATATTAAATTGATGTGTTTTTAAAATTTGAAATTGAATTTATTCGATTAATAAGGTGTTGTATTTGATGTTTAAATTTAGGATGATGAGTAAATGTATATATGTATTTTTTTCTACAAATGTCGGTTTAATTTAATATGTATAATATATTATTGTTGTTTTTTGAATTCGATTATATATTATAGGTGTATCGGAAAATTTTTTATAAAATGATGTTTTAATAAAGTTGCGAAACGAGATTTCTTTTTTGGTTTGGACTTATATAGTAGCGTTTGTGTACTTCTTGTTTTGTGCGTGTTATGCTTGATCGAGTGATGGTTTATGATTGTCTAATATCGTCCTTTCGGTTAGTATATATGGGGAATTTACGCGTTTGTTCGTAAAATGGTTACTTCGCGCAAAAGTGGATTATATTTGTCTTTTGTGATACTTTATATTCTGTGGTTTGTTTTAGCATTCGTAGACGATATGCTTCTGAAATCTTAAGTTCTTTTAGAGTTTGTTGCCGTTGTAAGCGAATTTCTTTGATTCTACTCTTTAGCTCCTCGATGTAAAGCTTTTGCTTATGCAGCTTTTTTGCCATTTTGGCTTCATTCTCCTCATAGGCTTATAAATAGGATCTGTTGAGATTAACAATTGGTAGCTCAGGGTTGTGGTTGTCGTGTCGTGAGGTGAAGGGAAGGTAGAAGTTGGGGATGAAATAGGTTGATTTCTAAGATATTAGTTCACGAAGTCTAGCGGCGTATCGAAGGAGGTTATTCTTTTTTTAAGGAGCGAACGGGGCGGCAAGGTCGTGCCACCTTAGCGTAGCTAGCACGCCACTATGCGTAAAGCCTACCCTTGAGAACAAGAGTGCGGCGGTGTAAAATAAATATCCACACCTGGTTTCGCGTTTTACGGCGTGAAATTCTTACAGGTGGGAAAGAAGGAAAAGAAAATTCGAGGTATGTGCTTTGACTGGCATATGGATTAAGAAATTTTCTTTCAAAAGAAATATTCCAAATTCTATGGCACATCGAATCCGGCTTTACGGTGTTTTCTTCGGAAGCTCAACGACTAGTAGTCGTCATTGGTGGGGATGCCAAGGATTTCGCGGGCTTGGCGTAGCATTGTCCTGCTAAAAGCGCCGATGCACAAAGAGCAAGAGGCTCTTTCTTGAATTTCATGCATGGATCGGCATTCTAAACAAGCTCGATGAAACACGGTGCCGTTTCTTGTGAAGTAGAAGCTCTGCCGATCGAGTTGCTCTATGATCTTCACGATCCTTTCTTTGATAAATTGGTCCTTCTCAAATTGAACATCATATAAAATCCTTTGGATCTTAACGTAGCGTTCCTTCATGGCATTGCGCTGCTCTTTGACTATTTTAAAGTTTTCTTTTAACTGGTTGAATGCGTCGATGAGCGCTTCACGGTCATTTATTGTCACTTATGCTCTTCTATGAGAGCTTGATGCTCCTCGTGGAGGATGTGGTTGTTCACCTGGAAGTTATTAAGCTGACGGTAGCACTCTCGGAAGCGAGCCTCAAAATGAGGAAGGTCCCACTTAGTCATGGTGGCGGCATCCGAGACATTGGTTTCCTTAGTCTGTGTGCTAGAGTCCGTTAGGTTGTCATCAATATTACTTTCATTGTCGTCGATGTCAGGGTCGTCTTCTTTGTTTAGCAGCTGTCTCTAGGGGAATATGGTCTATAGGAGGGATAGTAGAAATAGAAGACCAAGTCACGAAAGGTAGCCCTTTAGGGGATACCTTGAGTTTGATTTGCGAAGCAAGTGTCGGCGAGTCCGGGTCTAATAATTGATCATTCAATTCACCCCCCCCCCCTCCAAATTCAACTCTCCCCTGGAGAACGTCTTCGTGAGCCTCTTATGATTTCAGGATAGTTGAAACCCTCTTGCCCTCTTGAACATTTAGAAAGAGTGCATATGAAATTCGAATTACGAAATGTGTTCTCGTTAAAATACCATTCTCTCTTGGAGACCGTCTTCGTAAGCGTCTCTGTGTTCCCCGAAAGGATCGCAAGGTGTTACATACCTAGAGTTTATTTTCTTCTCTCCTGGGGCCTCTTAATTTAATTCTCTCCTGGAGCACGTCTTCATGAGCCTGTCATGATTTTAGGATAGTTGCAACCCTCTTGAACATTCAGACAGAGTGCATATGAAATTCTAATCACGACAGGTGTTCCCCGAGGGGATACATACCTAGAGTTTGTTTTGTGAACCACGTCTATTCTCTTTTGGGGAACGTCTTCGTGAGTCTCTTCTGGTTTCAGAATAGTTTAAACCCTATGATGCTCCGATTCTATGCTTACCGATGATCTGAGCCATGGGGCGAGGTTGTTTCCCTAAGAACCTTTCTGTACATTTCGAGAGCATATGAGCAACGGCTTCTATTTGCGGTAGTGGTGATTGGTCTAGGGGCGTTCCTTTTCTATAGCCCAATGTCAGAATTAGTTGGCGAAACGAGGTAAGAACACCCCGAACACGAGATGGGCATCAAATATTGACATGTTTAGCTTGTGAAACGAGGTAGGAAGACCTCTCGAGAACGAGATGGGTTTCTACACACCAAAACGAAATACAGGCATGGAGACCGAGATCACACACCAAAAACGATGCGGGCTTGGAGACCGCTGCTGTGGCTCGAAGTATGCCACTCGCGTTCTCTTCTCTTCCCGTTGTCCTACCTTTCGTGTCTCCCTCCTCTCAAGTAGTATTGTACCACATAGGATCCATAGACTTGTTGTAGGTGAAGTTGAGGTTGTAGTGGTGTAGTGCGTTGCTTGTGCGAGTGTTGTGGAACCCATCATAAATATAGCCTGCATGGCTCCAGAAGCACGCTTCACCGCAAACATCTCTGTGTTCCGCTTTCGGGTGTGGGCATCCTTTTTCTTTGCAGCTTGAAAGCCTTCGTCGGAGGTGATCTTCGTGACATGCGTTCTCAAGCGGTCAGCCAGCAATTGAGAGCTGTCAGCCTTCGTGAGGCTGTCGGCATATTGCATCTCCGAACTCACCCATTTCACTGAAGCGCGGCAAGCACGAAGTTTGTCTTGACAAACCAAAGTTTCTATTGCCGTGCGCTTATCAGCGCCACATGCTGCTTAGATCTCGTCCTTGGTCAGCAGGTCGTAGAGGGCTTTTGCGTCCAGCACCATTGAAGGTGGATGAACAAGGACCGGTGTCTTTTCATCCTCTAGTGCTAGGTGTGGTTGCCACAAAATCTTCCAAAAAGTGGTGACAAAAAGAAGTGAGTCAGCACACTCTGAAGCAGCCTGGCTCTCAGCCGATAAGGAAGAACGGGCGACCCGAGGCAAACACCATGACCTCCAATCAATGACATTATATTTACCAGTTGCTCCTTTGAGGATGGAGTTGTGAACCATCAGGACCAAGAATCCGCCCTGAGAGGACAGATCTTTTCGACTGGCAAAATTTGCATCCGTGTAGCCCAAAACGGTCACTTCCCTTGGATCACCATTCAGGGCATGGTAGCGAAGACCAGCATCAGCATTTGTCTTTGCCATCCTGAGAACTTTGTTGGCCCGATCGATGGTGTCCACCGTAGCCCGAGTGATCTCACCGGACAACTGGGAAGCTGAACATTGCAAGAAGGGTGCTGTCTGCGTTGATGGCCACTGAAGGCCACCTAGTAAGCCTCTGAGCATGGAAGTTTCCTTCTCAGTCAACGAGGAGGTGTTCTGCTTCTTTCGCTCTTCTGGCAATGAAATTGGCTTCATCTTGTGAAGGTAGTGCGACTGGTGGAGCAAGGTGTAGTTCTCCTTCCTTTCAATCTTACAGCCACAATACTCAAGTTCACCAGAGTCCAGCCACATTCGAAAAGTGAAGAGCTTTTGAAGTTGTTCCTTGACCTCCAAGAAACGGAGTGAATCTATATTGCCACCTCCGACCAAATCATCCACATGGATGCCAAACAAACCAACAAGGGCGCCAGGTTCTCCAGGGTTGAGCTGATTGGGCATGTCCAAATCAAAAATCATGAACATGTAAGCGTCCAACGGGTGTTGTTTGATGCCAGGGATGCTCAGGATCCTCGAAACGGCCTCGAGGTACCAGCTGCGTGGTGCATCAACAAGACCATACATGTTCTTGTGCAATTTCATGATTTTCTCCTCACCATCTTTTACATTAAGGAGCCTTTGTGCGTCTTTGGGGAGACGAACCCAGAGAACTCGTTCAGGTCCATGAGGCTTTCCTTGTAAAAAGGCAGTGCTGATGTCCGAGGTAAAATGCCGAAATTGAAGCATCTCGCAAATCGACAAAATCATTCCTCGGCTCAGTCTTGTCAAGGTGGGAGAGTTTGTATTCAATGCACCAGAAAGAGCGTCGGGATCTTGAAATCCTCTCAAAACTAGGCGAGCCTTTGCTTTCGTTGACTTGTCGGGTTGCACTTTCCAAGTCAAAATGAAGCGCGCCGTCAAGATTCGTTCACTAGGAGCATTCTTTGGATCATCAAAGGTCCAAACGTTGTTGGTGAAGAAGGATTCGAGCTCCTTTTGCTTTGCTTTTGTG